CTTTTCAAGGGGATACAATCGATACCTAGAAAGAATTCATATGGCTTAAAATGCAGTATTTGCCTTGCCTAGCAATGCAATACTCTCTCTCCTCTTGGTTAGAGGCATGCAGGAAGTAGTAAGCAGATTACAAAAAAAGAGAAAGCTAGGTAAACTGTGCTGAAGACAAAGTAGCCAGAGACTAGGTCTTACACTGGGAACTCAAGGTACTTATGGCCAGACTAAACCAGAATGGAGCTACTAGTGCCTTGCACAGTTCACTTCTACAAAATGTGAATGCTAGAGCTAGATAATATTCCAAGTGCAGCAGCTGAGGAAAGAATAAATGAATCAGGTACACAAGAAAGACTGCAGCTTCCACTCACAGTCTTGCATTATCTATGCAAGTACGGGGAACAAGTGGGGCAAAATGAATCAAAAGTTTCAGTGCTATCCTGGGGTGTCATCAATGCTAATATGGTAAGTTAATAGCCAATCAATCACACACCGTACAAACAGGCTAGGATTAATAGTAGAGGATCTGGAGTCCTAAAACTAGGCAGTCTGAACTGTAGTTGTCAGCTGGGCATCATTCATTAAATGGCTTGTTCTGTCTTGAGCGTGGAATGAAGCTGGCTGATATATTAGTGTAACATAGCTTTCCCCCAAAAGATATATGGTGTTAGGCTTGCAGGCCTCCAAAGCCGGAAGAAGAATAGAGCTCAGGATTTCTTATTAAAGAATCAGCATGAGACAAATGAAACCACAAGGTGCTTACAGGGAGCTGAAAATCAATAGGACAGGATGAGAAAATTATTGGCTAAAATGATAAAATTATTTAATCTCTGAATTATACCCACTTCAGGGAATCTGATCTAGTCGGTGGTTTTCATCCCTTTGTTTTCTGGTCCATCATTGTGCCCAGTGCGTATTTCATGTGGTAAACACTGTTTTTGCTCTGAGGCATGGTTGCTCAAAGACAATTCTCTTTTAAGCATGTGCAGCATTTGTCATTTTTTCCCCCGGGGATTTTTCAACCCAAAACTAAAGTAATTTAAAAATGGTGCTGGGAGACCAGCTTGCCATATTTTGAGACACACACAAATGAGTAAAGTCAACTTCTGGTTAAAAATGGTGCAGGGAGACCAGCTTGCCACATTTTGAGAGACACACAAATGAGTAAAGTCAACTTCTGACACCTCCCCACAAGAAGGGAACACTGGAGACCCTGTTTGATTGACACTCCTTCCCCCCTCCCTGCAGCCCCTCCACAGTTGATGCTACCAGGGGATCCCCAGTCCAGAGTGGTGCCATGCCATAAACAGGCTTGTCCTGGCCAGGCTTCCTAGTGGTTAGAGCAGATTGAAACAGGAAGGGAGTGCCTCTCTTACTCTCTATGGCTGATGCCTCAAAAGATAGAGTATCTGTGAGTGCAGGACTTCTTGTGTATCTCCCTCTACCCATCTCTAAACCTTAGAGGCGGAAGTCCAAGAGAAGGCCTCTGCAGGTGGGTGGAGAAGAGCATTCTGCAGAAATGAGGGCATCTCCTCTCTCTTACCCCACCATCAGCCTGCCCTCTGCTTGTGGCTGGGGTGGA